AGCCCTGGAAAACAGATGTAGTCTAAGATGAAACCAGGAGCAGAAAGGAGTCCCAAGGAAAGAGGGAGGGCAGACAAACACTCCGAATACCCCAGAATAGCCTCAGAGCTGCAAGCAGTGAGACGAGGAATCTGCTAGCTGAATAACAAGCACACTTAGAAACTAAGGACACAATGGCTGAAATGAAAGCTTCACATGAGAGTTTAAAGATTTAGCTCAGGAAATCACCCAGAAAGTAGAATCAAAAAGCTAGAGGTGGTCAGGAGGACAAAAAAGCAAAAAAATAAAAAATAAAAATAAATCTATCCAACACCTCATTCCAGATGAAAGAATAGGAAGGAAGGAATCAAAGAGATAACACTCGTGAAAGAAAACTTCCCAGGGTTGGGGAATTAGTTCAGTGGTGTAAGCACCGGCCTGGCAAGCGCAGGTTGTGAGTTTGATCCCCAGCACCAAACTAAGCAAAACTTAGTTCAAACATGAGTCTTTGAATCAGAAAAACCTACTGGATTCAAGATGATGAACTAAAAAGAACCCAGAGCTACTGCAGAAATGTATCTATTGGCATGAAAATACAACACAGAAAAATAAATAGATGAAATAGTTGATGAAAAACTATGTGTCAGGAGCCCATTTTTATAAAATACTCAATAGGGGACAATGCTTTCAAATGCCAAGAGAAAATTATTTCCAGCCTGGGATTTTATGCCCAAATTATTCATCAAGTATGAAAGTAGAATACAAAACATTTTCAGACATTTAAGTCCCCAAAACATCATCGTCCTGTATGTATCCTTTCGTGGTAAGCAATTAAACGTATCGATCCATTCAATGAAGGAGAAAATGGTGACTGAATTTACACTTCTACAACCATGTACCATTGCCAGGTGACTTATAAACAGCAGGTGTTTGAAGCACACCTGGTGAATCTGAGCACAGTGTGCTTGGACAGCTAGGCTCTAGTGAGATCATCCTCCAGGGTTCCAATGGCTGACTTTTCTCGTTTATTTATTTGTTTGTTTTTCATGTCAGAAATTGAATTCAGGACCTTGCACTTGCCAGGCAGAGGCACTTGTGGCACTGAACTATATCCCTGGCCCCAGTGGACTTTTCTTGGAGCCACATTTTTCAGAAAGAAGGTACATGCTCTCTCTGGGCTCTCTTGAATAAGAGATTCATTCTGCCCACTCAGCGCCCGGTCACCTCCAGACCCCCACCCCATACGATCACACCAGAAATCAGAATTCCAACCTAGGAATCGAGGGAGGCACAAATAGTCCATTACATGTGGGATCCGAGAACAGAAAATCTCTGTAAAAAGTGAGAAAAGAGATTCCTAGGATGGCAGTGAAAAGAAGTCTGAGAACAAAAGCTGGGTGACCTGGGCTCAGAGGACAGCAGCGGGAAAGGGGAAAGAAGTCCCAAAACTGACCCCTCAGGGGATCCGGTGTACACAAATCCCTCGGAAACATGGAGGCAAACAAGAGAAAAGGCATTTAAACAGGAGAGCGGGCCGAAGGAGGGAAGAGCGTAAGAGGCTGCTGCTTTGCGACTTCCAGCCGTCATTGGCTTTTTAAACTTGTATTCTTTTCCTAGTTCTGCTGTATCAAATTAACACAAACTCGGCAGCTTAAACAAATTGTAAATTAATTTTCTCACAGTTCTGAAAACCAGAGGTCCATGATCAAGGCGCCAGCAGGTTGGTTCATCCCGGAGGCTCTGATGGGGAATCCATTCGGTGCCTCTCTCCTGGCCCCTCTTCTGACCTGGCTGCATCTTCCTGCCTGCATCCTTTCTCTGTTTCTTTGTGTTAAATCACCCTCTCCTTTCTCTTAGAAGGACAGCACTTATTAGAGTTCGGGCTCATCCTAAACCCATCATGACCTCATCTCAAGGTCCTTAACTTCGTGACATCTGCAAAGAGCCCATTTCCAAATGGGATCACATTGGCAGTACCCCAGGGGTTAGGACTCGGACATAGCTTTCTAGGGAATGCACTCTAGTCTACTACAGAGCTATTAGAAGAACTACTTTGAAAGTCTACAATTATCTCTTCAGTTTTTCGTATCTGTTTCTGAAATGAGATCCAGAAAGAGGTTTCTGTACGCTTCCACCAGCAAAACCCACGGACGTCATTTTATGGTTGACTCCATTTGCCTTTTGGGTTACTAGAAAAGCTCGTTGTTTAAAATATGGTCGCTGATCATTTAGTCTTTCTCTTTTATAAATTGCCTGTCCTGTGTGCCACAGTTAGTTCATTTTATTTTTTCTAAAAGATTCATCTCATCTAAAATGAAACAAAGTAAAAGAATGTTTCTGACAGCATTACTTTGACTCTCCAGGTAAAGGAAAATAACCTTGGTTCTCAGCCAGAGGGATCGACCCTCTAAATTAGGATGTTCTTGAATTCCATTCAGCTATTTTAAGTGTTATGGCAAAAGCACACATGCCATGGAAAGATGGTTACAATATGGGTAAAATACTTGTGCGCAGTTTTAAAATCGTGTGATCAATAAGACACTGTCCTCTTAAGATGCATGCATAATAGAGAAGGGCGTTAGAGACCTACGTGTGTGGCATTCGTCATGCACCCACTAACCCTCTACTTGTTTTACAAATATTGCAGCAACTGTGTGCAATAGGCCAGATCATGAGCCTTGTTTTCCCACAAAGGAAACAAGCGAGAAAAAATTCTGAAGCATGCCACATAGCTGCTAAGCGGTGGGCCTGGGATTTAAACCCTGGCAGTTTGGCTCCAAAATTTACCATTAAACCACCCCATTAGCCTCCTCTGTCTCTGTGCTCGTGTTTCCTTTTATAATATTTATTTTGTCTTTTTTTTTTTTTTTTTTTTTTTTGGTATGGGGATCGAACTCACAACCTCATGCTTGCCAGGCAGGTGCTTACACCACTGAGCTAAATCTCTGGCCCTCCCTTTATATATATTTAAAGGAAGCTGCCACATTGCCTCTGAGCGGGAGGAGGGCACTGTCAATAGTTTTTACATTCTTTTTCTTTGTATGTATTTCTGATCTTTCTGTAATGAGTTCATAATGCTATTATTATTAAAATACTAAAAATTCAGTTTGAAAGACAATATAGGTCTTCTTAATCTATTTTATAAGACCTGCTTTCAGCTAGCAAGAAAAACAAGAGACCTAGTTTTGTCACTCAAGACACGTGGCAAGTACTCAGTTAAAATCTGCCTTCACCGAGCAGCTGTTTTGTGTTCGACACGATCATTAAATCAGTGAATTCCGTCATGACTTACTGCAGGGGATGACAAACCATTACCACAGCAGCTGGGGCTTGACCGAATAATGGTGAACGGGCTGATTCTGCTCTGTGTTTTATTTTGGGGGAAGCAATGGAGAGCGGGATATTTGTCTTTTAGAAAAAGTTCAGGGCAAAATGTCAAAGCTGAAGGAGATGGACACCACGGTGACACAGGAAAGCTCTTCCCGAAACAGGGTCTGCGGTAGGGCAGTGAGCGTGGAAGGGGTAAGAGGATGGGCCTGTGCGTGTGAGCTGACTTTCAGACAGCACCGGGGAAGGCGAGCCCAGCCCTCTAGAGGTCACTGGCTCTGTCCCTTTACAATGCCCTGAGGAAGCTGGGTCCAGGATAGTGGCTAGAGCTGCAGCAGCCTCCCACTTAGAGCTCACCAGAGCAGCTTCCGGGCTGATTTCCCACCTCTTCCCCCACTTTGCCAGGCCTCATAAATACTGCCTGGACTGCAGCTCAACAAATCAGCTCCCATCAGCCAAGGTCTTTGGCTCCTGACCCCTCATTCCTCACCTTCCCTGCACTTCAAGGTTCTGTTCCTCCAAGCTGCTAGCTGTCCCGTGAGGGGGCCACCACCTTCCAAAGCACCAAACCATGCCCAACAGCCGATGCTTGGCCATGGTCCCTCCAAGTGACCTCTTCCTGTCCCTGGACTCTTGTTTTTCCTAAGTCTCAACACCGGGTAATGAGACAGTCACTACCTGAACCCAGGGGAATCAAGTTCCATGGCATAATCTGCAACCTGGGCAAAGATAGTGGGGTCCTTTCTTATAATCGTGGATGCAACTGGCAGCATCTATGGGTCTAATAATTTTTATGGAGCCAAGCTAATTTTTATAACCAGACAAATGTTATTGACATGAAACAATAAATGTTATACTAAAATAGAATTTCTGAGCTGGGTGTAGTGGCACATGCCTGTGATTCCCACACTTGGAAGGCTGAAGCAGGAGGATTGTTGCAAGTTTGAGGCGAGCCTGGGCCACAAAGTGAGTTCAGGGCCAGCCTGAACTGCATAGTGAGTTGCCTCAAAAAGACAAAAAAGAGGGGCCAGGGATTTAGCTTAGTGGCATAAACTCCTGCTTGGCAAGCACAACAAAAAAAAAGAATACATATGTAGGGAGGGGAGAGGAGAGGAAGGGAGGGGAGGAGAGAGGAGAAGAGAGGAGAGAGGATCTCTGCTACTCATCTTCTCTAATTCCCCTTACTTCTCGTGCTCTTCTCTTGGTCACCACAAAGTGCAGACCTTGGTTCCCCAGAATTTAGATAGTGCTATCTGAGGACCTGAGTGGCACACATGTGGAGCCTGGACTCAGAAAGCCCTGAGTTCAAATCACAGCCTTGTTAGTTATTGGCTTTGCTTCCCCACCCATAATCGCCTCCCCCGCTATGCTGAGAATTGGAAGCTTTTTGCACATGCAATGCTCACTGCAGCCGTGGGCTCCGGTTAGGTGCTGCAGGCTGCAGTAACTGTACCAGGAAACAGGGACCAAGGGCAGATTCTAGGCAGCAACCTCCCCTGGTTTCATCTAATGAAGGAGTCAGCCCTCACCTCGCCGCCTCTCAACGCGCCCCTCTGACTCACACAAAAGTGCAGGCCCAGCTAAGGTTCCTCGGGCCTCCCGGGCCCACGGCTGGGAGCCCGGCCAGGCAGGTCTCCGGGGACGCTTGCTCACACCTATTTGGAGGAGAGCACCAGGCCTGCCTGTTCACGCACCTGAAAGAGGTTGGCAGCTTCCAGGACACGCTGCACGTTCTGCTTGGTGATGAGCGCCTTGCTGGTGTACGTGTAGTCCAGCAGAGTGTGCATGGTCTCGGCGTCCACCCCTTTAATAACGATCCTCTTCTCATACTTTTCCTTTAGGTCATTGCAGAACATGGCCCTGGAGGAGAGATGTATGAGTGTGAATCCCACTGGGATCCTTAGTTCAGACTAGAAGCAAGGGACCCCTTTCCCATTCTTCTGTCCTCCTGAAATGTGGGTGTCCTCGAGTCAGGCCCAAGACTGATGGCTTTGTTTCCTTAGCACATAGCACACATCAGACATTCAGTCCTTGTGTGCTCAACTAAACTGTCCTGCTTTGCATGAGCCAACTGTGGTGGCCAGGCCAGGTCCAGATCTATCTTATGGCTCCACATACTGAGGACCCTGTAGGATTACCAGGCCTCAACTGAGCTTTCTCAGTGTCTAGCACCAGAGTTTCTGACTCAACTTCCAGTTCTTGTACAACTTTTCTCAGGCCTGAGCCTGGCCTCACACACTTGCCTGTCTCCCAGCACCCAGATTCCATCCAGCAGAGCGAGCGGCTCCTAAAACTACCTCCCATGCCTTAGGCTAGATTCCCAGTTGCAGCTGGAAGCCCTGAGTACCCCGACACAGGACAGAACCCTCAAGCCTCTTCTCTGGTTTACGCCTATCTTCCTTCTTCCTCAGGACTGGACTTCAGGTATTTGGCCTCTGTCGTGGAGGCAGGGGAGCTTTTTGGAAAGGATGTGGGTTTTAGATCAGAGGGACCAGAATCTCGGTCTCCATGAGCTCCAGTTTCCTCGTGTGTAATGAAGATATCAATAGCTCTTTCTAAGGCTTATGGTAAAGATTGCTCAGTAACTAACAGGTAAGCAGAGATACAGAGATTCTTTTCCACCCCATGCCGGATGCATATGTGAATTCTTCCTTTCTTTGACTTTGAGATTTGAATTTTAAGTTCTTCTTGGAGAATGTGTGAGCTATTTTATTTATTTTTAAAAATGCATTTAAGCCTTACCATGCTTCTGGGAAGATTTCTAGAGACTTAAAAGGTACTAAAAAATATGGCACGATTCTACAAATTGGAAGTAGGAGGAGAGGATAGAAAAGCATGAGGGAGGAGATGAAGGTACTTTCTGAATGTGGCTAGAAACACTCCCCAGAGTGACAGTCACAATCCTCGTCTTATATCTCTCTCACACACAAGTTCACATGCTCAAAAGAGTGAAAACTCCTCTTAGCATAAGAAGCAGCTGGGATTTCTCTTGGGGTGAACACCAGCCTTGTAACATTCTTAGCCCACAGGCTGGTCTTTAATAGCGGTAGCCAAGGCAATTCCTTCAGCCCCATTCCTACAAAAGCCTGCTCACCTTCTCTTCCCTCCCAGCGGGTGTGAAACCCTAAAAATCCACAGGAGGGCACAGCTAATAAAAACAATGCTTTGGCAGCTTGAAGATCCAATTTCTTTCAATTCCCCCTGCATTTACAGAGCACCATTCCCTAGGATACTGGAAGAGAGTTAGAAATACTGGACAGGGCTCTAACTGCCCCCATCCCACCGTCAGAGTCATGTTCTAAGGCTGTCTTTGTAGCTGGGCCAGTAGGCAGTAATGGCAGTTAACTGAGACCATGAGGCAGAGGGCCTAACCTGACCAAAAGGAGATCCTTACAAGAAAAGAGACCTGAATTATCTTCCTCTCTGCCATATGAACACACAGCAAAAAGATGGCCATGGGCAGCCAGGAAGAGGGCCCTCCCCAGAACCCAGCTGTGCCACCATCCTGATCTCATACTTTTGGCCTCTAGAACTGTGAGATAGGACATTTCTGCTCGTTAACCTACCCAGTTCATGGTCTTTTGTTACAGTCACCTGACCTGAACACAGCAGAGTTTGGTCTGCAGCAAATAAGTAACAATGGGAAAGCTGATTCAGGGCTGGGAAATGGGTTGCCGCTGAAGGAGTTTCAAGATTAATGCCAGAAAAAAGGCTAGATGGTCATGGGCAGAATGTAGGTAGGAATGTGGGCACTGAAGGTCATTCTGGAAGGTCTCAAATGGGAATGAAGAAAATGTTACTAGAAACTGAAAAAATGGTGATCCTTGTCATAAAGTATCAAAAAACTCAACTGAACTATGTTCTAGTATTTTGTGGAAAGTAGAACTTTTGAGAGATGCAATTAGATATTTAGCTATCCAGTCAAGTGGGAGGAAGCAGCTTGATTTAAGTAAAAGGCAAAAACGAGATCAGTAGAAAATGGAATTATTTTACCTGGGTGTGGTGGCACATGCCTGTAATTCCAGCACTCGGGAGGCTGAGGCAGAAGGATCATAGGAAGTTCAAGACCAGCCTGGGCTACAAAGTGAGCTCAAGGCCAGTCTGAACTGCATAGTGAGAACCTGTCTCAAAAAGACCAAAAAAGCTATGGGGATTCGAGCAAAGATGGTGGATAGATAACAGTAGGCTACAGAGGCTCCCAGAGATAGTCAACTTAGAATTCACCATAATACAGTGTGGGCAGCCCTGAACAGAGGGAGATGAATTCTCTTGTCCTAAGAAGAAACTAAGGTGAGAAGAAGCAATCAAACATACAGTCCTGGTGCTATTATTGGAACAGCTGAAGGATCAGTGCTTCTGCCGCATCGGGTGACTTGCCAAGCCAGCCAAGTTCCCGCCGCTTTGACTCACTGGAGGTGCAGTCACACTGAGATTGGCGAGCCTAACGGAGAGCTGAACTGGCAGGGAGCCTGCATCGACCTATGGTGAGTGATGGGAGTGGAGCCATTCCACAGAAAGGGGGCCTCTGGTGGATGACATTCTGGGACCGGGCAGGACTGGCAAGTACAAGGGGTAGCAATGACTTCAGTCAGTTGTTCCCTCCCCGAATGGGATTGGTAGAGTGAGCTAGGCCTGGGTCATGCAACCTGGCTGAGACCTAATAGGTTACCTGAAGTCAATTCCCTATGGCGGCGGTACACACTAATGCAGTGTAGTTTCAGAAGGTTAACTGACCTGGAGGGGAGGTGACAAACAGTAATACAGTGCAGGCCTCAGCAGCTTGACTGATCCTGAGGAGAGGGACCAGCTTACGCTGCCCCTGTTTGTAACTCACTAGCACACTGCAGTGGGAAGGGTCACCTAGCCAGTGTGCTTCAGAAGAATTGTAACCGACAAAGACAGAAACTGGGGCCTCCCGAAAGAAACAGAAAAGATGGGAAGAGGAAGCAACAAGAAAAAGTCCCCAGGCCCCAACCCTGAGAACATTGACCCAGGACAGGTAAATACAAAGGAGAATGAGAACAGCAAACATTCAATATCAGACATGGCACCAGTGGCCATAAAGAGATATATTCAAGACTTCATAGATGAGTTCAAAAGTAAAGCAAGATATAAGAAGATTAATAAAAGAGATGCTAAGCACCCCTCAAGAAGACACAGACAGAAGAGAGGAACTCAAACAAAGGAGAGAACCATTTGATGAAGAATATAAAGAATATAGAGAAAATATTGAATACATGAAACAGATTCAAAGAGATTACCTGGAAATTAAAAACTCTATGGAAAGATGGAAAATCTGCTTGAAAGAAACTAAGGATAGATTATCCAAACTGGAGGACAGTTTTGCAATGTGGGATTATGAAAGGAAAAACTTTTAAAAATAACAAGGAAACAAGCAATAACAATATAAAGGCTAGAAGATGACAAGAGGATCTATAATTTGAGAATAAAGAATGTGAAGGAAGAAGCAGGGGTACAAACAAAGGAACTACAAAGGCTATTCATAGAAATAATTAAGGAAAACTTCCCAAGCATAGGAAAAGGAAATGATATTCAGATGTGTGAGGCATACAGAACTCCAGCCACCTACAACCAAAACAGAGCTACACCCAGGCATAGAATAATCAAGATCCCAGAAATTCAATATAAGAACAGAATATTAAAAGCTGTTAGAGACAGGAAACAGATAACGTAGAAAGGAAGCCCCATCAGAATCACAGCAGACTTCTCGACACAAACCATCAAGTCAAGAAGAGGCTGGAGCGAAATATTCCAAGCCCTGAAAGAAAATAACCCCAGCCCAGATTGATACACCCTGCTAAACTGTCTCTAGAAATTAATGGAGAAACGAGATGCTTCCAAGACAAAGAGGAACTTGGGAAATTCACAACCACCAATCTAACTCTGCAGAGAATACTGCCAGGCATTCTAGAGAGAGAGAAAAGTACTAGGATTCCAGGAACAGTGGCAGAGAGGCCTCAATGAATGGAGCAGAAAACAGAATGAAGCAGATAAGCAGACAACTGATGGCAAAAAAAAGAGCATAACAGAAATGAGGCAGAGAAAGTTGGTTATAATCTTTAATATAGATGGCCTTGATACACTAAATTTTAAAAAAAGAACCACACATGAAGTAGATCAGGAGGTAGAGTCCACCAAGATGCTATTTATAGGAAATATAATTAACAAGAAAAAGAATACACAGGCTGAAAATCAAATATTAGAAAACAATGCTCTATGTGATAGAGAACCAGAGAGTAATTGGAGCAACTAGACCAGCATTTGTGGATAGGTTGGAAAGCCAGGCTTTAATAGGTAAAGGAATACAATTAGAGATCAAGTCCAGGAGAGAGACGGTTTGGAACCACTTAGGTAAATAGTAGGTTGCCCCCTCCCCAATTTAAAACCAAGGGTCTTGGTCAGACCCAGAAATACACAGTGTACCCTGGGGAAGTGAAAGCAGAGGGAGAGTCTTTAAAAAGATGGCAGAAGATATTGTTAATAGTATCAGGATTTAAAACCCACATTACTCTCACCACTCTGCTTAGATAGATTTAATTCTGTCCCAGTTTGTCTGCTTGCATTAGAGTTAAGGGCACAGACAGCTATCCCAAAAAACATCAGGATATAGCACAGTAATCATCTTTAATTTCCTGTTATCTTAATCTGGAACCCTGTATGATTTATACTGTTTTATCATGACTGATCGTAGTTAAATCTGGTTTGTTTAATTGCTGTTTGGTATCGACAGATTTTATTCAAAACTGATATGATTGATAGTATCAAGTCTGAGAGTATAGGCAACTATACTTAGGATGACAAGACTCTGCAATACACATTGTGGTTTGATAATTGCCTAT